GCAGCATCACCACCCCGCGTGGCCCAAACGGTCCCGAGATAATCAAGGCTGGTTGGCTTCTTACTGTCATTGGTCCGCGCCACGCTCTGCACAGTGTCGGACAGGCTTTCCAAAGTGCTTTGCTGAGCGATGACATTCAAGATCGGCAGCGGCACACGGAATGACGACATGAGCGCCCTTGCATTGCGTGCAGAAGTCAGCAGAAAAGGATATAGTCCCAAAGCCGCAAATCCTCCCGCTCGCCTCTCCTTCTCTTTTTCCCATCTCCTCACACCTCAAGATCTCCTACCCTCGTGCATTCCGCGTGTATGCGTCGAGCGCGCCAAGGCTCTCACTTGCGCCGTGCGTGTGTCAGTAGGATGGCCTTCGTGTTGTCAACGCGATCATTTTGTTGGCGGCTTTGGATTGTTGTAGCCTGCTTATTAGCCTCTGAGACGATCATATCGCTCGTGCGTTGTACGATTTGCTTGGCCTATGTTTTGTCAGTCGATCATGCGCTGGCTGTGATTTGACTTTTGCGAAGACGCTCGGCTTTCCTCTTGGGGCGACCTTTGCAGAGGTCGGTGAGGCCAGGCCAGCAAATTTGATCGCTCCATGAGGTGGCAGGAGCCTAGACCTTGGTCGCGCGACTGGCTGTCCGAAGCTGGTAAAAGCCATGCAGAACACGCTCGGCGACTGCCGTAGCGGGTGGAGGAACGTCGCAGGGGCTATCGCGGGGATGACGGAACTCCTCGTGAGCTGGCCGTTCTGCGACGAATAAGGTTTGCGCGCTTCGAAGTACGGCAGCGAATGGTGAATAAGCGCTGATTGATGCAGACGCCCATTGCTCGCCCGCCACTCACTGTCTGTTGCAGTCCACCTGCCTCTTAGCAGCACAGTGACTGAAGCGCCTATCGTCTGGCAACATCGCTAGCAGGATGTCTAGCAGCAGTGCTGAGCGTCCGTCTATCGTCCGCTCTAGTGCTGCCCATTCCAGCCGCTGAAGCATCCGGCGGTGCTGAAGAGTCCGATGACTGTTCCAGATCCTCACTCTTTTCCGTTCGGCTCTGATGCGTTAGATCCATTCCGACCTCTTTTGATCTGTGCAGTCTCAGCTTCTCTACGTCTTCCGAAGTGAAGGACAGGGAGGTGGGTGGTCGACGAATCATCTCTCGAGGTGCGATCGCTCGTGGAGTGAGAGAGGTGTGGCAATGAGGCACGCGTCAGGCGTCTCAGCTCAGCTCAGCTGGAGGCGATGGCGACGAGGCGAGTCGAAGATGCCGGTCTGCGAGGTAATCTAATCGCCAGCGCTTGCACGCAAGACGATCAGCGAGCGCGGACGTTGTAAGGAGGGTCCGAGTCTCGCGGATAGGATGGGTGATTGGGCCGCAGTATCAGCTTCAACTCTCGACCAGCCAAACGCCCGTAGACTTGGCTCGGAAATTCTACGACTGGAATGGCTGTCTTGACTGGGATCGACGTGTTTGAGGGGATGATGTTAGGTTGTAGGTCGAGCGCGCGACGCGTGGGACGCTCGCTGGTCGAGCCAAATCGCACAGGCGCGCACGCACTCGCGTAACTATCGCGATCAGGTTTAGCCGCGGCTCGACTCCCCGTCAGCCCGGCGCGACCGTGATGCGCACGTACGGCGCGAGAGGTCGAGGATGTCACCACTCACCACTCACGACGTTCGAATCCAATTTCGCCCACTCCGCGTGATCATCCCTCATCATATCTTATCTTCAACCAGAGACACACATCCAGCCGCGGGTCGAATCGCCGCTTTTCAGGCAACATCAGCCTGCGCGTATCGAGGCTGTACCGGCACGTACCGATCTACTCTATTGTCTTTTGAGATAGAGTCCAATTCCAACAGTGCAGATTAGCATCACCGGCTCTCTTGCTGCCCGCGCGAACAAGATGCCCACACCATGCATCTGACATGGAGTAGTTGCGACCAAAGTTACAATTTGAATCTCGAAAGGGCTGCCCGCTCGGGCAGGTGATCTTCTCGCGCGACGATGTATGCTGCGTAACTCGTGGTCGATCTTGCCGCGGATCATTCAGGGAGTGAGAGATCCCTGGCTGCTGTCGCCCTTTTGACTCAAGCACAAAGCGAGCACCTTTCGCTACGACACTCTGTCTGCGTTACCTGCAAGTCTATCTTGTCGTATCAGCCATCCGCTCTCTTCACGACCCTCCCTCGATACTTTTCAGATCAAAGCTCTCGCTTCCAACGTCCAGGCAAGCATACACCACAACCTCACACAAGTGACACTTCAATTCCAGCCCAAAGAGACCTGTCAGCCTGCTGCCCAGACAGGGCTGCGATTCAAGCATCCACTACCTCCATTGACTCGAAACTCCACACGAACGGCACTGACATGGACAACATTCAATTCGCGCTGCTGTGCGCATTGACAGCTCTCATCCTTGCGCTCGGTCGAGAAGCTTGGAAATGGAGTAGATTTCAGCGCACCATTCCCGTGCCTGCTCTTCCCGTCGGATACCGAGCATGGTCTTTGCCAGATCCAGAGCCGGGTTTTGATTTGAAAATGGCCAAAGACTTGGCGCTTAGACCTTTCAGGTGGGGCAAGCACCGTCTGACCAGTGAGTATGGGCATCATGGTACTACAATGCGAATGGACAAAAACATTGGGGCTTGCTCACGTCTCTGCCTGTCTCGCGGTCATATCAGTGGGAATTAAACCTCTCAATCCTACACAGTGGCTCTCGCTGCATAAGAGCTACCCCGCATACATTCGGCTACGAGAAGCTCGGCACGCAGTGTATGGCTCACGATGCTACAAGATACTGCCAAGCAGTGCGTGTCTTCGATCAGGTGACTTCATGAACGAGCTAGCAGCCTTGGAGCTGGCTCGAGCAATATCTGCCTACCTGGCTTGTCGATATCCCTCCCTCTTCCACGTCGAGCCTCGCGGCTCCGAACGAAGAAACGACGGATTTGACGTACGCAGCATCACGAGGAATGCGCTGCCTGAGTGCGGTCTTGAGGCCAAGACTTGGCTGCTTGAAGACCTTGGCCCTTTCGGAGAAGGGGCAGATGAGGCTATGCGAGTTGCAGGAGAGCTCGTGCCGGATGATTTGGCCCTTCTGAGAGAGACATCTTTGACAGATGAAGAAAGGGCAGGATATCAGAGCGAGAAAGCCCCGCTGACTGCTCATAGACTAATCGGTGGGTGAGTGCTATGCGGGACTTTTGATCACGTAGCGGCTGTTTGGGTTGGCGCCGAGCTGACGTACCTGCTCTACGCTTGGATCGTTGTGTGCTACAGGTCCATCTGTACAGCCGGATTCTGGACCCTGAAGGATAAGCTTGGTCTGCCCCTCCGCGAAATTCATACGAGGGGCGGCGTACCACAGTACGACGAAAAGCGTGAGGAGGAGCCCCGCTCGTGACGCGTCACAGCCAAAGCTGATCTTATCTACCATTGGAACCAGTGCGGGACCCAATAGACCGATTCTTCTCCAAGCTCAAGCCAGACAAACCCATTGGTGCGTCGCTCGCTTGGCTTCGAGGTCCAAGACGATTCTAACTCAGGAGCGTCCTTGATTTGCAGAAAGGATCGATAACTTTTTTTTTCAAATCTGCGACACGCAAGCCATCCCTGCCCTGCTCTCTGGCAAGCTGATTCCGGACGTCTTGCCGCCTGACGACAAGAGGTCCGCGCCGATATCTGGTCGAAAGTCAAGCTCTATGGGAGCGGATGAGCTGTGTCGAGAATTGTACGATCGATCAGAACTCAGTTGGAGCCACACTACCAATGGACCTGAGGAGATATTCGATCAAATGCTCAAAGGGCCCCGCGCTGCGAGTTCCAAGACGACTGG